TTTTTTTTCGTCTGGACGAAATTTTAACAGAAGATGAAGAAACCACACCACTTCGACCACTTCTCTTTTACTTCCAAACATTTTCATAAATGTTTTCTTTGTCTTTGGCTGGTGAATAGTTGGCTTTAAAAAAAGGTAAGTGAGAAAATGATCGGTAATTATGTTAATTATGTATATATTTAATTTTTTTAGTTTCATATTCAGACAGAATTGGAATTTCTCTTGGTGAAAATGCATATCAACAAAAAAATAAATGACTTGGTTAAAAATAAAAAGTACTAGCTTATGTCTCTACCTAAGTGGGCTCTTTAAATAATTGGTAGTGATGGGATATTTCTTAATATGCAGTAAACGTGGAGAATCAGGGGTCCGGAAAGCCATTTTGAAGGTTCCAAAAATGCGAAATTAATCAAAAAGGGGTTTCATCATAAGTTCATGGGCAGCAGAAAATGTCTTTAAAAATATATTACATCCCACCTATTAATCACCTGTAAAAGATAAACTCCTTGTTCAAAACACTCTTTTAAAATATATCTTTGCCCCCAACCCCGTTTTTATACACGATTTATTATATATTATTTGAAAGAGATTCAATTCAATTAGTAATTATCTTGCTAATAAAACAACGATAAAACTACAATCATTATTTATCTTTCATCGACGAAACTAAACATCACTTTCGCCATCTTGTTGCATTTTCAATTTCATTCATTTTAAAATGAAGCCTTTTTAAAGGTTTTTCATTATTTCTCGACAAATTTTAACACAAGTAATTAAAAAAATGTTAACAAATTCTAACTGTTTAAAAATTAAAAAGTGCCAAGTTCATTTTGAATCGTTAATGAGGAATATTGGAAGGTTATTCAATTTATTTTTTTCTTCAAGGTTCCTTATTTCTTGCTTTAACCACATATTCTGTTAGTGTTCAGCAGCGTTTAAAAAAATGCTGTTATCAAGTAAAGGAGTAAAAAATTTTTTGTACTTTAAACATTCCCATTTTTCATAGTCTACGTAACATAAAAGGTCATGTGTTCTAAAGAGTTGTCCTCTTTTTATAGAGAAATTCACTTGTCTCCAATTCGTTAATCATTGCTTTTTGAACATCATCCCTTCAGTTTTAAAATTTAAAGTAAGTTTTACAGTTTACTTTTTTTAATTTCTATTTCCTGAAATATTTTTATTTTATGTATTTAGTGTGGGTCATAAATTGAGTGGTTAATTTGCAGTTTAGTACCCGTGCTCAGTTCGCTTTAAAAATTTCCAGAATACTTACATTTATGTGTAATTGTACCTGCTTCATTCAAATCTTTAGAATTATCTATCATCAGTAATTCTTTTTAGTTATTAATGGCAGTCAGTAAATTAAAAAAGTGCATTTTACATTCTCTGACTAGATTTTAATTATGAGTTTAATAGATGATAGATTTTTTTTTAAATAAAAGGTAATTAGCTTTTAAAAAAGTTATATTTTTTGTCTCTATATAACATTAATCTGTGGTGTGTATTTTTTTAGTTGCTGGACATATTTTTGTTGTCCTTGATTTTTGCTCTGATGATAGACTGATAAACCAGTTTTCCTGGTTTTTTTTTTTTTAATCAGTTTTATTTCAGTATTATCATTCTACAGCAATATAACTTTTTTTTGTTATGAATTACTTTTTAATATGTCTTCTTTTATCACTTTTTTTTTTCCAGATTTATTCAAGGATCAATGACAAATTGTGATATGACCATAATTCCAGCATTTTGAATTATAAGAAAAGGTGATAAAGCAGTTTTGCAGATGAACATATTGAGGTGACAAAAATGGCAGAATTTCACCATAAACTTTTCTTGTGGGTGAAAACCTCATTAAAATTTGCCCTTCTCCAATTTGGCATTATTTAGCTGTTCAGGTATGGAAGCAGTGAATGATACAAACAATGACTGCACAGGATATTGTTCTCTTGCTGCTTGTAATAATAATTCTTTTCAAGAACTGCAGATGGGAAGGAAAGTTCTGATTTGTAATCTATGCAACAAGCGGTGTGTTTCCAAGTCTCAATTAAACATGCATATGCAGACACACACCGGAGAGAAACCATTTCAATGTGAAATATGTGGATCAAAATTTTCAAGAAATTTTAATTTAAGGCGGCATATACAAACACACACTGGAGAAAAACCATACCGCTGTGAAAAATGTGGCTCCAGGTTTTCCCAAAATTCTGATTTGGTAAGACACATTCGAACGCATACAGGAGAAAAATTATTTTACTGTGAAATATGCGATTCAAAATTTTCAGAAAAATCAGCTTTAAAGAACCACATACGGACACACACTGGAGAAAAACCCTACTGTTGTGAAATATGTGGCTGGAAATTTTCCCAAAATTTTGACTTGACTAAGCACATGAGAATACATACTGGTGAAAAACCTTTTCACTGTGTTTCATGTGGCTCAGCCTTCTCACTGAATTCTCACTTGCAAAGACATATGAGAACACACACCGGAGAAAAATTGTTTCAGTGTGAAATATGTGAGGCAAAATGTTTGCAAAGGTCTGATTTGGTTAAACATATGAGAATACATACTGGAGAAAAACCATTCCACTGTGAAGTTTGTGTTGGTAAATTTTCAAGTCGTTCGGCTTTGAAGACACATATGCGTATACACTGGCCAAAATCTGTTCTACCGTGAAATTGTTGAGGCAAAACTTGAAATTAAATAACCATGCTGATAATCTGAAAGCTCGAAAAACAGAAAATATAAAACTGTAATTTTAAAATTTGATTAACTGTTGCTTTTTTCTGTAAATTGATTTCAATTTGGTGCATTTTACTTGAGTCATTTGTTGGAAAACATCATTAAATATTATTGTGCTGAGTTTTGCCATAGCGGTCATCCGTTGCATTTTAAATGCTTGCAAGTATTATGCAGAAATGGTGCAGAAAAGAACATTTGATCATCTATCATCTAATGAATGAAACCAAAATTTGGAATAGAATCTTTACATATAAATCTTAAAGTTTCTATGTTTGCCCAAAAACCTGAAAATTAAATAAATTTGGTTGTCTGTCTTGTGAGTGTATGTGTGCAAATATTATCTAAAACTGTGATATCAAATAAAAACGGTTTTATTATTTATATCTACTTGCATGTCACTTATATTTTGTCCAACTTAGATGTTCTTTATTGAAATAATTATTTCACATATTCTACTTTCACAAAAAAGATAACTGTTTTGTCATTCATTTTAAAATGTGTCTTTTGTAAGTTCTTTTATTAGTAAGGAATTGTTTTGTTGGTGGCCTTTCTAATGAAATTTTAGTTATTCAAATAAAGCCATTGTCTGCTCTGAAAATGGAAATGGCTTTAGTATTTACATCACCGGTTGGGAGTAAAGAGAAGTAAGCAATTTTTAAAGGGAAGTAACTAGTTTTGACCTTTTTTTTCTTTTTTATATAGATGTTGAAAATTTTAATTTATAATATAGCATGTCATACATGAAATAAATCCTTTAAACTAAATGTTTAAACCAACCAAATTATTTTATGACAATTTTACTGTTTTCCAGCAAAGACTTGATTATTTGCTGTGGAGCAAAGGAAAGGGACACTGCTTGTGCAATGCCAGGTATCATTGCTAATTTGAAGTTACAAAATTAATATTAATGTTCGTAATTGAAAATTATTTCTAACTTCTTATCAGATGCTTAAGTGAGTTTCAAAAGTGTAATGGATTTTACATTTTAGTCTGCAAAATATCAGTAGTCTTCTTTTTTCTTTTCTTTTTTTAAAAAATAGCATCTATTTTTATTACAAGAACATTAATAATAATGACATACTTTGTTTCAAAATTACCAGGTGATTTCATTTTATATAAATAAAGGTATAGTTTATGTATTTGCAATGTGGTCACAAAGGTTGAGGAAGGGACATGTGAATGTGATATCTGGAATGGAAGGTGTAGATACTCTCAAAATAAAATTCAACATTGTAAGACTGGAGGGTATACAGTAAAATATTGTGGAAAAAAAATCAAAAGATGAAGGTTGGTCTGAAAAAAATAATACACAATGGTTTAAACACCATTTCTAATTAAATCCACATGAGAAATGTTAATATGGATCATTGATACTTAAAAGAAATAACATTTTTGTAAATCAGTTGTTCCCAAGACAATGTAATTGACAATCCCAAAAGTTGCAATAAAATGTAATTAGAAATTGTTGAAATGAAAAAAATACTTAATGATTCATTTAAAATAAATTTTGTTGCTATTACTACTGCACATAAATATTGTTACTATTAATACTAGTAATAGCAAGTAATATTGTTGAAATTATTACTAGTAATATCAAATGGTAAATACAAAGGAAAGGTCACATGAAAAATGCCATTTGGGAAGTTTGTAGGAGTCATAGAAATTAAAGTAAATTAGAAGAATTCTGGTTGGATCAAACAGATTGATAAGTGAAAGATTTAATTTGAATCAATGTGAATGGTGGAAATAAAATCAGTAAGGACTGGAAACTGGTTTAACATAGCAGGATCAAGTAAATCCAGTTTAAATAAAATTTACCCAATTCACCTTTGGTTAACCTAGCCTTTGGTTGGCAAGATTAATGTTTTCAGAGATAAGATTTAAGCTGGTTAACCTAATAAAATTGTTTTCATTTTATACTATTCAGCCAACGCTAGGTGGAATTACAGGAAAAGTCAAATTCTAGGTTTAGGCTACTTGTCAGCATTAAGGACATCTGGTTTTCAGACAATGAATCTTAGGAACTTCAAATTTAAAGAAATTAGTCATACATCAATGCCAGGATAAAGATAAATTATTTATTCAAGGCTTTTATTTTTTTTTATGGTTCATCAACCTAATTAACCTATAGCTGGGAGGCAGGAGAGGTTGATTCATACCCTTCCCCAAGTGTATTTGCATATAAGTGAATATAATGAACCTAACTAGAATGGGAACTCTGCTCTCCAATTTCATTACACCACCTGCACATCAGGCATACAGCACTTGGTATTCCCAAGTGGTCACCCATCTAAGTACTGAATAGGCTCAATGCTGCTTAACTTTGGAACACCAGTTCTTGTATGATCACCAATGTGATATGGCTATAATCCATCTATTTAAGAAATTTGTAGTGTACAATAAGGGGATTAGGCCATCAACTGGGTGGGGTGTTGTTCAGAATACAAAGGAACACAATTACTAGAATGCAGTATGATACTAGCATAAGAGAATGTTACAAGTATCTAAATACTTATACTGCTTGCTATTTGTACTTTAATAACAATATTGTTGAATACTAAACATATATTAGGGTCATTGTGTGTGGAAATTAAAGATATTCCATTTCAATCAGAGAGTTGAGATTAAAGAAACCTTGTCACGCCACAAATCAGTGGATCGACAATGATTTAGACGATCTGCCAATATGTGAAAAAAAAAAAAAAAACTACTGTTGATATCAGCAGTAACTGGATGTAGAATTCTCACTAGTAATGAAATCAATCTCTCGGGCAAGAGTGATAAACATAAAAGTAGAAATGGTAGTTTGACTAAGCATCAAATTTGCAGAAAGAGATGTGACACTATGATTGGGACAATCACACAGAAAGGAAAGGTGTGAAATTTTATCCTTGTCTCAAGTGTTTCATGTTTTATCACCACTAATAATTCTATGAAGTATTGTCTACAAAAATGCTTAGCTATAGGACTGAAAGAAAATAAAAGAATAAATGAGAACTTAGGGGGTCAAGTGACAACAAACTGGACATTGATATTTTCCGGTTGTTGACTATATTAACAGTGACAGTTGGGATTGAGGAGTTATGGACTACTTGTTCACATAGATTGTTCTTTCAGGTGGTTCTGAGGCTGTCTGTTCAACTTCCTGCCCTACACATTATTTATCATTCCATTGTAAACTAAGTCAAGAAAAACAGGCATATCAACAAGCAAATTTAATTACATTTTCAAATATTTTTTCTGAGTAAAGGAATAAAACTAAAAGAAAAAAATTGTTAATTAATATTTTATTCAAAAGCAAAAAAATGCGGACATTTTAAAACATCCATTTTTGTATTTTTATAGGAAACTAACAAACAACAAAACCGCCATGAAGCCAAAACATGAAAAAATATATATAATTACAGTTCAAAATTTTTTTTTGATTTTTAAACAGAGAATTAAAATTCTTTTTAAACCTTTACTGTCAATAGTAAAAATTCTGAATAAACAACAACAAAAATTTTCAAGGTGGGGGGGAATTAAAAGAAAAAAGCCATTTGCTGAAAGAAAAACAAAAACACTTTTCATTCCAAAATGGAAAGGAGAAAATGTTAAAAATTAGCAGATTTTTAAAAATAAGCAGATACGTTGCACCAGAAACCAAACGCTCAACTCCATGAGCAAAACAGAGATAAGTCAAGAGTAAGAAGAAATGAAGAACATACCTACCTGAATAAGAAAAGAATGTTTAAATAATGTAATAGCAAATACATGTTGATAAGCGTCGTAAATTGTGACAAATGGAGATGACAAACACTTTGTATCATTGGTTGAGACACAGAATGCATCAAGGAAGTTGTACAGTTGTATTTTTGGCAAAGAATAGCACCAGTGAGCAGTACTTTGTTGCTCCTCTTGTCAGTAATGACATTCAGTTGTCAAATCTTGAAAATCTGCAAACAATAACATCTGAAGCAGATTTCAATTTTATTCATAAATTCATGCTTCTTGCCAAATCCAATATAGGACAAATGGCAAGGATCATGTGACATTAACAAAATTATTTATAACTTAGGATTGAACAGGTAAAATGCACTTAGATGAGAATTTATGAACCCTCGTCGTTGTCATAGTTAACATTTGTATGGAAGCAAGTGACAGAGTTCAATACCTACAGGGTGCTCTTTAATAGATGCCCTTGTCCAGACTTTAAGAAACCTGTTGAGTTGTATATGTTTCCTTCTGCTGTTGTAGTTTTGTATGCAAATTATATATATATATATATATATATATATATATATATATATATTTTGTGGGGGGTGCAACTACAAATGATATGAAATTAACAACAAAAATGTATCATTGATATTTACAATTGTTGGGGTTTTTTTTTGAGGGAGAGATTTTGGAGGAAAATGATTTAGGCTTACTTTAAACAATTTCTTTATAAAACTCTGCAGCACAAATTTATGTCTCCTTCAGATCATGAGTGTTGGAAAAGATTTAGAATTAAAGCATATATATATATATATATATATATATATATATATATATATATATATATATAATTAGTGAGTGTGTGTAAAATTTCAGATAGACTATGTGTAAAAGGACAATATGAATAAAGACAAATGCAAAACTTTTTAGCCAATGTGTTTCATCCTCTGAGGGACTTTAGCAAGGCAAATGCAAGGGTTTTATTTTGTTACAACTATTTACAGACAAGAACAAAATTGTTGTAAGTTTTTCAAAATTTTTAAATTTAAGAGTTTCTCATAAATATATAATCAAATTAACTGAAAATTCTATAAGTCATGGAGGGCACTAAGTGACAATGTCTAATAAACAAAAGTGAGTAAAAGATGTTCTTGAAAATGTTTGCAAATTAATATTTAAATTATTTTAGTTTGGGGTTAATTTGTGTGTCATATATTTTGAATAATATGAGTTTATGAATTTAACTGTTTTCTTTTAATTTTTTAACATTTTTATTGTCATGTATGTTGGCGTTAGAAAGAGGTAATTCTTTCAGGAAGAGAAATATTTGAAAGTCTGGGGCACAGATTTATGTTTTGATGGGATTCAATAGTGGCACACTCAAGAATTTTCCGTCTAAGTAAGTATTCTCTTTTAATAAATGTGTCATTCTTAAGTTGTGGTTGAATTTATTTCTATGTATGATTAATGCATTTGATAAAAAGGATCTTATACACAACAATTTGTGTTCAGAGATACATATTCTTAAATTTCTGCAAGTTTCCCCAATGTATTGTAAAGAGCAGTTGTGACAGTTTATTTTATATATACCTACTTCAGAATTATTATTCTTATGGACATTTTTGGTTCTGATCATATCCATAATAGTTTTGGATGTGGTTGTAATTATTTTGATATTGTTAGGATAAATTGTTTTAGATAGATGTTAAAGTACTAATAAGTAGTATTATATGTCTGTTTTTAGCTAGCTTGCCATCTTTTTTTGCGGATGTATATTTCAAATGCCTTTCTCTGAATTGTGGATGAAATAATAACAATATAGGAAGTTTTTTAAAGTAATTTTGTGTATGTTTCTACTTTAGGTAAGTATTGGGGGCTGCAGATTAAAAAATTTTGAAAAACAAAATTGTTGTTAGTTTTTCAAAGTTTTGATCTTGTCTATAAATAGTTGTTACAAAATAAATTCCTTGCATTTGCCCTGGTAAAGTCCCTCAGAGGACGAAAGATAAGTTTTCCTTTTGTCTTTTTATATATATATCTTTTCATTATTAATTCTACAAGTGAATTTGACCAACACTGATAATTTTTCAAGGAAACAAACCAAGCCAAATGAGATCAAATGATTTGGTTTCAATCTCTCACATAGTTTATTTTTATTTAGTAAGCTTTAGTCAATCAGTAGTATTCCCTTTGATTAGTATTTATTTTCAACTTCAGTCTTTAGTTGCTTTTTTACAAGAACTGTTCAGAAATTTCTAAACTGTTAGCTGTATACAACCATTTCCTAAGATCAATCGTGAAAAAAGGCCTTGAGCAAGTAAAGGCTGGGAGAGCCCTGGTAAAGATCATTCTTCTATGAACATTGTGATTCTGCAGTGCCAGACCACAAATAAAGAACTGTACCAAGTAACAGAAATCACATCACCTGAGGATTAACAACAGCAGTAACAACTAAAATGAATAGCACATGTAACTTGAAGAGAAAATAACAACATAATCAAGATGTTAACATTCCACACCATTTTAAATAAAAGGTTATGAAGGAAACCCCCATCAGTACTGCAAAGATAGATAACAGTTACTGGACTTGAGAAACCTGTTTTCCTGAAAGATTATTTTAAGTGAACAATTTTATAAATTTCAACTGAAAACAGTATTGACTGCTTGGTCAATGAATGCCAAAAATGTTTCCTTGTAGGGAAACTGCGAATATTACCATTTGTCAGGCTATCACTCTAGGACAATACAGGATTAGAAATAAAAGGTAAATTCTGAATGAGAATAAAACTGATGACCTTTCCGCTTTGTTAAGTAACAAGAACTTGATGGCTTTGTAGAAGACAAAATCTAGAAGTTAGGTTGTAAGGGCATTGCATATACTGTAGATACCTAAAGAAGCTGTGGGGTCTTGGACAGGAGAGCTAGACAGAGCCCCCGTCCCTTCTTCAAGCTGGTTTTGAATTCAGAGACTACCATTTAACCCATTACTGGAGAAAAATGGATTTGTGCTTTTTTTCAAGGGCATTAGTGCAGAATCAAGAAAACAGAATTAAGTGGGAATTGAACTTAATATTCTGAATTTCCTGTGTTGTTATTTTATCAGCACTTTCAAGGGAGTAAGAGGGAAAAGTAAATACAAAGGCATAGAAAGAAAGCTAAATAAAGGGGAAATAATTGAATAAATCTATAAAAAAATTCAATGAAAAATGAAGATGAAAGTAAATACTAGTCAAAAATTAATAATGGCTGACAATGCTTCCTCTAATAAAAAAATGAAGATGAAAGTAAATACTAGTCAGAAATTGATAATAATGGTTAACAATACTTCATCTAATCAAAAATAAAAATAAGGCTTTAATAAGTTTGCCTCCATATTTTTAAAAAAGTGTATTTAATAAGATGACTATTGATTGATTGGTTGGTGTTTTGCGGCTTATCAACATTTTGCAGGTTATTTAAAGCTAGTTTATGTTGTAAAAAATTTTTAGGGAGATAATGATTTACTGACATGAGTCTTACTAATTAACCCATAGCTGGGGAGAAGCAGTGGATTTATATACACAAATACCCCTGAGAAAGGTAAGTGAATATAATGAAACTGACTGGAACTGAAACATGACTGTCTGATCTCTAATTCTGAGCCATTATCCATTACACCACCTGCAAATCCAAGCTTACAGCACTTGGTATTCTCAAGCAATCACCCATACAGGTAGTGACCAGGCTCAACATTGCTTAACTTAAGTGATCATATGAGAACTGGTGTTTCAATGTAAGCCAGTTGCATGACGAGAATACTGTTTCCTGATTAGATATGTCTGATCTAAAGCTACATTCATGGGAAACTGAATGGGAAAAAAAAATCAGTTTTTGAGATGCTAGAACTCATCTAAAGTAATAAAGAATACAAAGATCTGATAAATAAAATTGACAAATATTCCTAGAAACATCAAAAGTAAGTATTGTGGTGAGGATTATTAGTAGAAATTTATTTTGTTTATCTGTTTTATTGTAAGTTTTTAAAATAATTTTAATATCCAAAAAGATGAAGACTAATATTTTCTTTAGAATAGTAATTGCAGCAATGTGAATATTTTAAAAATCTTTTCTGCTTAGGGTTGTGGCATATTATTTTTTTTTTTACAGAAAAGGTTGAATAAAAAAATTTAGTGAAATCTTGACCTAAGATACAAAGAAACAAAACATGAAAAAAAAAAAAAAAAAAAAAAAAAAAAAAAAACTTACAATAACAAGTAAAATAAAAAATGTTTTTACATTCTTTTGTTTAAGTAAAAATTTCAAGATTTTGTTAAAGGTATAAAATATAATTATTGCAAATGGGATGGACATAATTAAAATGAAGGCAAAATGGGGGGAAAAACAATTGCAGTAATTTAATATGAGAAAAGAAAGAGAAAAAGAAAAGAGAAAAAAATATGTGAGCAAATCTGTTATCACTTTTCATTCCAAATTCAATTTTTTGCACACAACTGACTAAAAGAAAATATGGAATAGAAAATAGATTGTATATTAAAAAAAGTATTGAACCTTTTATCAAAGAATAATCTTCATTTCAAATAAGGTCTGTCCCATTTGTTATAATTAAACATTCAAAGAGATCTGACCTCAGCCATAATATCTAAAGAAAATGAATGTTTTGAATACATTTGGTTTTAAAAGCGACACTGGAGACAGGAGTATTTTTGTACAATTTAAAATGGATGAAAAAAGTTATAACCTTTTCTCCAGAGTGATTTGGGTGAATAGATTAACTAGCATAACATAGGAGAAAGAAATTAGACTTTCAAATTATCATAAGGGTTGGGTGATCTTGGTAAGAAATAATTTAGTATTAACAGGAAAATGTTTTGCAATAATGAGGTTGATCAAACAGTTCAATTCTTGGTGTATTGTCATATGAACTTCAGTTAAGACAACACATAAAATATTGTTCACATAATAAGTTATTATACTGGTTTTATAATTCGGCGTGTGCATGCATATATGTAATTTCAGATATGACTAAAAATATGCCTGTAAAAAGACAATATGAATAAAAACAAAAGGAAAACTTAGCATCTCATCCTGTGATGGACTTTATTAAATCAAATGTAAGGATTTTATTTTGCAACAAGTATTTATAAACAAATACAGACATCTTAATTTTTTAAATTTTTAAAATCTAAGGAATGCTCATAAAATTTCATCAGGCTAACTGAAAAGCCTAGGTAAACTATGGAGGATGCTAAGTGACACATTTTAATGTCTAATAAACAAAAGTGAGTAAATGATGTTGAATATTTTTTTATAATCTAATTAATATTTATATTATTTTGGTTTGGGATTAATTTATGCATTATATATTTTAAATAATAGAAGGTTTTGAATTTAAGTTTTTTTTAAAAAATTTTTTTAACATTTTTATAGTCATGTATGCTGGCTTGGGAAAATAGTAATTCTTTCCCATTTCTGAAAGATAAATTGACTAAGGTAAGTTTTCCTTTTATATATATATATATATATATATATATATATATATATATATATATATATATATATATATATGTATTAACTATGCTCTTATTTTTATAACTCATTGAGATTTGTTTATGAAACTGTGTTAAAACACTTTTGAATAAATGAAAAGCCACTTTACTTTTCTCTCTCTCCCTCCCTCATGGGATCAATCATCATTTTACAAGTTTGTAAAACCTTAAAAAAAAACCCAAAAATTAAAAAAAACAAAACAAACAAAAAAAAAAAAAAACAGGGGATTGTAAATACAAAAGGTAGAAAATTTATATGTCAATAAAAGAAAGTATTTCAAATAAAAAAATATATATTTCCAGGGTTCTGGAACAGAAGTGTTCCTGCTAGCATTCAAAGAATTTGTGGCAAGGGTCATAATATATTTGACAAATGCTAAAAGAAAGGACATTACTTACATGCGCATTTACAAGTGGTTAATTTATTGTTTTAGTTTCAATGCATTCAAATAATTATTTAAAAGAATTTCCTCCTGATAATTTCTCCAGACTAATTTTTGTAAAATTGTAATTGCTTCTAAATAAGGAACTTTTGATTTCAAAAAACAAAACATACAATTTTAGTATGTATATCTTTACAGCAATTGAAAAGAGAGAGAAAAATAACATGGTGGGGAATATCCATAATTGCTATAATTCTAAAAAGAGTCATCATTCCAAGATGGTTTTTTTATTATTATTATTATTATTGAACTGAATTCATTTTGTTGCTTTTGTTGTTATTGCAAAATTTGGGATGAACCATTCTATGGCCTTTTTCTGGTAGACACTTCATGTAGAAGTGGGTTAGGGGGAGAAAGCAGGAAGGTCTCTCTTTCTCCTGCTGCTAACAATCAGAAAGAGACAGCTAAAAGATTTGGAACATACAAAAAAAAAAAAAAAGGACTGGAGAATATAATACAAGACATATTGAAAAGAATAGATGAGTAACCTATTTAACAAGTTTAAGAAAATGGATAAAGAAACAAGTACCAAAGATGAAGAGGTGTTGTAAAAGAACATGCATTATTATGTGAAACAAAAAAACAGAAAGCTGTGGAGAGTCATAACTGAACATGTCCTGAAAGAACATGGCACAGAGTGAGAGAATACAAATTAGAAAATGGTAGCAAATCAAAAAGAAATGACTAAGACAACTATCTAAAAAAAGAAAAAGGGAATTGCCTATGTTACACATTTCACTATGAATGGGTTGGTCCAAACAATATATCAGGAACCATTACCCTCAATTAAACTTGTCTCCATAAAGCAGGTAAAAAATAGATTGGGGGCTTTGTGACTAGTGGTCTGTCCCCACTTGACAGTACATTTTGATTGCAAGAAGAGTGTCAGAAGATCAAGGGAACCAAGCTATTTTTGTATGACCTACCAGAAATGTGACAAATTCTCCAACACTAAAAATGACTGTGCATCACATTTGCCTTCATAATGTGGCAAATAAATATGAGTTTCCATTACTGAGAAAAAAAAACAAAAAACAAAAAAACAACAACCTTTTTTCCTTATATCAGTTGTACACAAAAGAGGCAGTGAAATAGATCAGTCAAAATATTGTGGTAACAAAAGCAAAAATGTGGAGAATTATAAGTGTTGTGGCCCCAAAATCCACAATTTATATTCAAAGAATTATATAGGTAAAAGAAAAAATATTCTTAAATGGATTGCATGTTGTTACGATGATGATTATTATTGTTGCATTAACTGTTGCTTTGTGGAACAGACTCCCAAGATGATGCTTCCCTAACAACTATAATCTTGGTCACTTCAAGTCCAGTGTCAACCATCCTACAAGTCCTTAATCTGCATTTCTTAATTTCTTTTTTCCTCACCCTTACAATAATCTCACTCAGTAACCCTCTACCGTGAGTGGCTCTTGGGCCTTGTATTGGGTTAACTACTAGTAAATAAATAAAATAATAAAAAACAAAGTGATGAGAAAAATATTTGAGGGTGAATGAACAACTAAATTGAACAAGAGGAGGTAATTACTCTAGGAATTATTAAGTTCAGTCAGTCAGTTAGGTGCCATATGTGATACACGCTTGGCTGATCATGTCTCCCTTGATTCATGATCAACTAGGCAGAAGATTTTTCTGCAGTAGGTTGCCATTTCTGTGGTAGACTGGCTGCCAACCAAGGCTATAGGACCCAGTCTGTCCTGTTATTCAACCCATAGCTAGGAAAAGAGGTGGATTCATACCTTTCCCCAAAGGTATTTGTATTTAGGTGAATCTAACGAACATGACTGGAATACAAACATGGCTCTCCAACTTCATTCCAAGCCGATATTCATTGTATAACCTAAACATCCATTACTTACTCTTTAAAAAAATGCCAAAAATGAATGGATTTTAGTGGAGATTCTTGTTAAAAAAAAAAATAGAAAAACAAAAAAAACAAACAAACATAAATAATCCATTGAATAAAAGTAAAGTTATTTAACTAGATCAAATGATAATATTAGACAAACTGTTTATTGGAATATTTAAATATAAAACAAAGAAAGTGAGAAAAAAATACACCTGTAAAGTATCTAGTGAGCTTGATTGCAGACATTTTACAATACAGCAAATTAATTTTTAAAGGTTTCTTTTTCCTTAATCCATCTTTACTTCTTATAACTATAAACGTTATTTTTATTGGGGACACTGGTTTCCATTGACGTTCATACTATTTCTAAACCATAAAATTAATATTTACCAACCTAGAGGCCAAGAAATCTTTACTGAGAAAAATGTCTTCCAACAGGAATCAAACTTCTATCCACTTTACCCCGCATAAGAGAAAAATAACTTTTATGTTTGAAAATAAAACTAACAGATATGGACTTCAAAGGGCCTCAACAAGAAGGCTCAAGGTGACAGAAATGTGGTTTTACAGAAGGATGCTAAGGACACCATGGGCTGATCATGTGAGCAATGACAAGGTTTTGGAGAGAATGGAAACAAAGAGGAAACTTATACTTAACATCAGGAAGAGGCAGCTGAAATTTCTGGGATATATAATGAGGAATGAGGGCTTGGAAAATCTGATACTCATAGGACGGATAGAGGGAAAGAGGGACATGCGAAAGCAATGTGTGACATACTTAATGAGCTTGAGCAAGTGGATGGTGGAAAAGGGTCTTGGAAAAAAAAAACAAAAAGACAAAACTTATTAAGAACAACAAGAGACAGGAGGTGGTGGAGGACTATGATCACCTACATCCTGAAGGGATACAGCACATA